CCCCCCCTTTTTATAAATGTAAGGTGGCTGCACGGGGGGGGGGGTACCCTAGTGATACCTTTCCACTTTACATAAGCTATTGAAATTGCAGATCGCTCTTTAATAGCTTATTGCTCGGCTCCAGTAGCCCAGCAATGACAGCTCAGGGACCAGAAGCGATGCAATGCGTGTCGCTACCGGTCCCATAGAGCGGGGAGGAGATCGATGAACGGAGGTTCGCCGCTCTCCTCTCCAGCTTCCTGTCACCACTCGACATGCTGGTCTCGGGCCCGCAAGACGGGCAGCGGAGCCCGGGAAACCCTTTACTGGCCCGCAGAAGCCATCTGGCGACATCTGAGTCACCATAATTGTTTCTATTGTAAAAGCAGACAGCCGGCTCTACAATTGTAAACGGACTCTGTTAAACAACTGTATTCATATTCTAATTTTTTTTATGTGTTGTTATGCAGGTTGGGAAAGGATGCAGTGCAGCTCTGAAGGCCCTAGGTGCTGTTGTGCATATCACAGAAATTGACCCAATCTGTGCACTACAAGCTTGGTAAGATGAAATTAATTACAGTTAGAATCACTTTAAAATATAATATTCTTGACAGAATAAATAATTCTATAGCACCATATGAATTTAGAAGTTTGTGATGCCACTTTTTCCCCTCTGGGGCTGATAAGAACTCCAAAGGGCAATCCACAATCTCTCACAAATGAATTACAGAAGCAGAGCTTGTGCCTTACCGCACTTGATCTTGAGTATAACTGGAATATACTAAAAACAACCAAATATAACCATCAGCAGAGCATATCAGCTCAATAAATACAATTGAGCACATAGAAGATCAGCAAATCCAACCACTACCATGCTACTCTGCCCTGTTAATAAAAAAGTTGGACTAGCCAAAGACCATAAAACATACTGTCTGTGCGAAGTTTAAATGACCATGCTCTCTTTACAAAAACCCCCAATAGTACACACTGCTTGCTTACACTGCAGGCTAAAAATATGCTTGTCTAATGATTTGAGTTGCCATTTTGGAAAGAACAGTTATATGGTTTCATGTGGATCTCTTGGTAGCCAGCAACACAGTCATCTGTAGGTGAGCATGAGAAAGGAAGCGATTTGTCTTCAAAACCCAGAAGGCAATAAGGTGGTAGAACTAAAAGATGTATCTTCAATATATATTGGTGTAGCAAGTAGGTAACACATCTTTCAAAGATTGTACACTGTAATGCTGAAAGTGGCAGGATCACTGCTGTTATAATTTGGCAGAAGTCTTAAATCTCTGATGAACTGATGCTGACAAAGGTTGGAAAATGTTTCTAAAGCTTAGTGATCTGAAACTCCACAGTTAAATAAAATCAATGCAGCTATATGAGACTTGCTGTAGTCTGTGTTTCTTCATTCTGTGCAGCTGTTTCTTTAAAATCTTCTGTGTCTGATGGAGTCTCCCTCCATGCAATCAGAAGCACAGGCAGCCCGATCTCTGTAGAAACGCTTCCTCTTTTGATTGACAGCGGCCCTGTGAGAGTCATCCTCATGTGTTAGTGCTTGCAGCTGTAGGAGGGTAATATTGGTGCAAGGTCAAAAGATAAGTTATTAAGAAAGTAAAATTGTTCACTTGCTAAGAAAAGTTTTTTTTTTTAAAGTCTATGAAAAAAAACAAACACCTAAAATGCTATTTAGATTACCTATCCTGCTTGTAATGGTTGGCTGTGCTTTTTTACTATGTAAAATGACCAATCAACCAAAATTCAACATGACATGGAAAAAAAAAGGCCTTGAGATTGCTCCACAGTTTATGTACATTTAAAATTAAAGTTTGTTAAAAAAAAAAGGATAAAAAATAAAAGAGCTAGTCTAGTGAGCGAAGATGAGAGCTCTATCAGACACAGCAAGAGAATGAAGTCACCTTCAGAACAGAAGTCCCGACCAGCACTAAGAAGATAAACAATCTTAAAGAAAGGGCTGCACAGAATGGAGAAACACACAAAGACTACCTTGATTTTATACAAACACTGTGAGAGTTTAACATCACTTTAATAGCAAGAGAGCCCAAAAACATAACACAACCCATGTAGATCAAAAACAAATTTGTATTTTAAAGATTACCATCATTGACACCACTTTCTGTGGCATCCAAATCTTACCCAGTTCTTGCAGATTTGATGTTCCTGATGAGAGTGGGCAGTATAAAGTTAAAGAAGAACTCCAGGCAAATTACTGCTGGTGGCAGCACTGGATGTTCTGGTAGCTCGGTAGGAACAGTACAACCTGACCTATGCCTTTCATCCTCTGAAATTTTTTCCTCATCTACGCTGCATGATAGAGATGGAGGGCATTCTAGTGATACTCATAGTTCCGAACTAGTCCAGCTGGATGTGGACAAGTGCTCTTCTCTCCCAGGGACTAGTTTACCATCCTGCATGGGTGCTGACATTTACAGCATTGCTGTTGAAACCCAGGTCCTAAAGGACAGGGGCTTCTTTGTCTCAGTGTTACCTATGATGTTAAAAGCCAGGAAGTCTACTTTCCTGAAGATCTACCATCGCATATGGAAGGCATACATGGATCAACAATTGTCCCTAAATACGATTTAAGGGTCAGAACTCAGTGTTTGCAATCTTAATCCAAAGATGGCTAACTTCCTATTCTTTGATTAAGACTTTTGTACAGGGTGTCTCGTGTAGAAGTTTTAATCTGCTTTCAAAAACCCCCCTTTGAACCTTTTGAGGGATATTCTTCTTTCCACTCACAAGGTTGCGTTCCTTGTCGCCAGCACCTCTGCAAGGCATATGACTGAAGTGGCAGCTTTGTCTTGTATAGAATGTTTTTTGGTCATGCATAAGGATAAGATGGCATTGCACCCGCCCACTGCTTGCTGTGCCCTTTTCCCAGCATGAAGGAGAGAACTAGGGGATCCAATCAACTAATTGATAATGAGAATAGTTGACAACTATTCTCATAATTGATTAATCGATTAGTTGGTTGCAGCCCCACACCTTAACCAGGACATTGTGGTCCTGTCCTTCTGTCCTGCCCAGTACATTTGAAGGAGATTTCCCTTCGTTGTTTAGATGTAGTTCATGCTGTGCTTTTTGTACTTTGCAGGCACTGCTTCCATTAGAGAGACAGATTCCTCTTTACCCCTGATAATCCCCGCAAAGAATAACCAGTTTCTCATTCCAAATCATTATTCAAGCATGGGGTCTTAAGGATCGAGTCTCACTTTTTTCTGTCGAGGCACACTCTACTAGATCTGTGAGTGCTTCTTCTTTTTGGTATCAGACAACTGATCACCCACAACCCCAAAAGACTGCTTACAGACACGGTCTGTGGGTCCCTCCTCCCAGCTTCTTATGTTGCAGGATATTTTCAGTCCCTGTGATGATGTCACAGGGGCTAAGAAAATAAAATATCTCAGCTTTTTTTTCTCCTTGGGGACAAGCGGAAATAAAAGCACTAGGAGAGAAAGATTTGGGATAAAAATTGTACTATGCCAACAATGTCAGTGAGCCAACAGCTATACCTTTAATGGCTAATGGAAATCATAGCAAGCTTTAGAGGCACATTGTTTATCAACCTAATTACATGGAAGTGCTGTTGTTGATCCACTCCATACGATAGTTTGATTCTCCTTTTGTGAAAATCTTTGAAATGTTAAAATATATTTTTTAACATATTTAACTATGAATTGGTGTAGGTGCCCCCTCTGGAGAGATTGATAATATCTTAATCATCATCGTAATATGTTTGTGCTTTAACATTGTCAAAAGCATAAAAAGTAATTAAAAATGGCCGTTTTTTTTTTTGACCCATTGGGGAGAATTTGCTTAATTTCCTGTCTTATAGTGAAGGAAATCTCTAGTTGTCTGCAGGGTCACCAGAACTAGTATTCCCATTGGGGGATATCCCCTCTATTCCTGTTCTGGTGACAACTCAAAATATGGGATTTTCTTTTACCTTCACGTGATAATTGTCACCAGCACAAATAGATAGGGTGAATATCCCCCAACGGCGACATAGACAGCAAAAACAACCTGACGGGGTTATAATCCCTCTCCACTATCCAAAACAAACAAAAAAAGTCTATAGTTATACTTAAAATACCGAACTATAAGAGGTTGCTATAAGACTTTATTACCTGTAGCATATAGACATGACATTCTAAATTGTATTTTAATATTATTACTGTATGCATCATCTTATTCTGTTTAATTTTTAATTTCATGTAGTTTGTTAGATGTATATGCCAATGTTAATGTCTTCTTTTTCATACAGCATGGAAGGCTTTCGGGTGGTTAAACTAAATGAAGTTATACGGCAGATGGATGTAGTCATCACTTGTACAGGTAACCAGGTATACAAAAGCTGGGTTTTTTCAATTTAAAAAATGATCTAACATGTTTCCAGGGACATGCGTGTCACTACCATGACTAGCTCAACTAGAGAACTGGCAAGTTAAAGGGGAACTATGGGGTGAGTGAACTAGACTCATCCCCATAGTTTGAGCCGACGTGTGACAATGAAACTGGCACATTTCGGCTCTATTGATCGGCAAGTGAGCGAAAACATACCGCTGCTCGCTCATTTCCCAATCATCTCCCTGCAGAGAGCAGTGATTTCAGTCACCGCTCCCCTCAGGGATTCCCCCCTCCGATCCTCCACTGCCGACAGCGGGCTCTGCCTATCTAATCAGCCAGCAGGATGGATTTCAACAGTATTGTCGGGATCCGTCCCGGCTGCAGCGCTCTTAGCTATATACTGAGCTTTGGGTCATGGGAGGAGGTTAGTATATGTCCTCCCGTGATCCTAAAGAGAACTATGGAAAAAAATGGTTACCCCATAGTTCTCTTTAAGCTTTGGAGTGCTTCCTAAGCTTGACGTGCCAGTTCTCTACAGAGCAAGTTTACTGTTGTGAGCTTTGAACACTCTTATTAGTAAGTTTTTGTATCCTCTATTAAATTTGCATATGAGCTGTCATGAAAAGTGGCATTAGTAAATAACTGTGTTAAAGGATAAGTTCACCTTTTGCAGAAATTAAAGAAATGCATAAATAATACTATATAAAATATGCATTTCTTATGATAGATATATATTATAATATCTAATATTTGCATTCAAGCCTGGAAAGCATTGCAATTGTGTACGGAGTTTCAGTTAGGAGAGATGGGGGGGAAGGAAGGCTGGACTTCAAACTGCACTGACGCTGTATGAGGTGATTTAATGCAGTTTGAAGTCCAGCCGTCCTTTCCCCCATCTCTCCTAACTGAAACTCCGCACCTCCATATGAGCTCTGCCTGGGAGAGAATGTGCAGAAGCCTGAGCTGCACAGCTGTGATTGAGTGATCACAATTGCAATGCTTTCCAGGCTTGAATGCGAATATTAAAGAAATGCATATTTTTAATATATTATTAATTATGCATTAAGCACGTTTTGTGCGCAATTTAAAGCGGTTTGAGGCTTATTAGAAGCGTTTTTTAGGTGTGTTTTCAGCTGGCAGATTGTCAGGTATCCAATGAAAAGCACAGAGGACAGTGTTTGCAGTGAGCTGGATTGTGAATATGTTCTATGCGCCATGCTTTTCCCATTCTGTTCACATTTTATTCCCGCTATCAAACCAGGCTTTCTTCTTTTTGGTCTTGCTTTTATAAATGGGATCCTTAGGTTCTTAAAAGGAGGGCTGTGCCTGCATGAGGCGGTTGAAGCCCTCTGCATCAAAGCTGCACACTGTGCTCTCCTCCATTTTGTATCCCAGAATGCTTTTCAGACAGGGGGAGGGCACGGCGTGCTGTGTCATATGGGCGACAAAAAACGCAATACGCGTGTTGTTGGGCATTTTCTATTCAAGTCTATGGAGACAAAACGAGCTGAAATCTGCCCCAAAGTAGCTCATGTAGTAATTTGTGCGACAGGTGTATTTCTGCTTGCAACAAAACGCCTAGGTGTGAACAGGGGCCATAGAACTGAATGGGATTCTGGGGGTCGAGCGTTTTGTTGCGCTGTGCCACGAGCGACAATACGCTTAGGTGTGAACAGAGCCTAACTGCACAAACTGAATATAGAAGCTAATTGGTTGCCATTGGCAACTGCTCCAGATGCTGTCTGTCACAGTTTTAATAAATTCCCCTCATTGTGTCTAAGGCAACCTTTTTGGTAAACAAAGAGTTGGTGAAACGGGATCAATAGATTATACAGGTACAAATACAGTACTTAAGAAATAAATAACACATGTGTAGTTATATATTGTTATGTGTAGTGGACATGAAATACATTGGAAAGGTGAATTTGGATTTAAAGGAACTAATTGGAAATCTTTATCACTTATTCCTACAATTTTATCCAATAGGTAACAAAAATGTGGTTACACGGGAACATCTTGATCGTATGAAGAATGGCTGCATTGTATGTAATATGGGACACTCTAATACAGAGATTGATGTGGTAAGCAATATACTACCCAGCATAGTAACAGCAGTCCATCAACTCAGCATGGATTGTTTTGACATAGTTCAAAACAAAAAAAGTTGCATTTGGATGTAGGGCCCCTTAACACCAGCAGGTCAAGGTGCACTGTGCACATGTACTGCAATGTGTTGTACAATGCATGAAAGTGTTTGGGTTCTTTTTTTTTATTTAACTTTAGTAATCCTGACAACCTAACAGTTCATCTAACTGTATGCATGGCAATGCGTTATAATGCAGTGCACGGCGTAAGAAATATGAGGTGTCCTATTATTTTTAGCACAAACCAATGCGCTGCACTGAAGACATAGGACATAGGGTAAATTGCCTTGTGTATTTGTTGGCACTGCGTTGGGTCTCTTAGGAGTGCATGCTTTTAACTGTTTATGAAAAAATGAGGGCATGTACACCATTGACTTGACTTTATAGTTCACTAATAACTGTCCGTTTTTTTTTTTTTTTCTTCTTTTCAGACTAGTCTTCGCACTCCTGAGCTTACATGGGAGCGTATACGATCTCAGGTGGATCATGTAATCTGGCCTGATGGAAAGAGAATTGTACTGCTGGCTGAGGTAATCATGCAGAGACATTCTGCATATGCATAGAAAATATTCAATCAGTCCAATACAAAATGCAGGTATAAAGCAAAATGTCCATAATCAGGTTGTCAATTTTTAACATTGATAGTAGATTCTTCATATCAGTACAAAAGGGATTTAAAAAAAGTAGCTTTAAAACAAGACAGAGAAAAATTAAGCTTCTGCATGGAGCAAAGCACACATGGCTTATAACCACAGCTCTAATCAGTTGTGCACCTTGGATGTACTAGGTAGATTATGTAAAAAAAAACATTACTATGGGCCCATCCTGTATACCTATACCACTCCCTCAGTGTGGCCACTGTAGTAGATAAATCACTGCAATTGGCTGATAGTTCGACGTCTAGTGTTTTATAAGTACTGACAGTGGCTCAATGTATATGAAGCCTGCAAACACAGTTGTAGGCATTATTGAAATATATAATTTATTAATACTATTGTTACTGTTGTTTAAACTAGATTTTATAGTTCTGGATGAAATTAATAAAATTAGGGATGCATCGAAATTTCAGTCGCTGAAACATATCGGCCGAAAATGGCACCTTGAGCAAAATGCAGAAAGTATCATTTTGTGGCCGAAGTTGTGGTGCATCTCTAGTTTCTCTCCTCCCACACTGCCCTGCTCTGCCTCTTGTAACAGGCAGAGACTCGGGATGAAGTGTGTGGAGAAAACAACAGCTGTCACAGGAGGCCGAGCCGGCGGTGCGGTGGAGGAGTCCGCTGTCAGCCGTGTTACTGGAGGCTGAGCTCTCCTGCCCGCGGGGAGGAGAGCTTCATTGTGCTTATTTTCTTTCCTTCTGTCATATTCATCGATTTTATTTACCTTTTGGTGTATTCTAGTATTAGCAAAATACTCGGGTCTGGTTTTTGGAGTGATAATAAGAGCACTGTATGACTCTGGAAGGCTGCATAGCAGTAATGTCACCACGTGGTTTACTCTCCAATTGCATGCAGCTGTTCTACAATTTTCGGCATGGCATTCACATGTTCACGCATTTTCTGGACTTTTTTAGCCTCATCTTATATAGCTTGCGTAGCAGATATAGTTTACTGTTTGGGTTTGAACGCTAATGCAGTTTTTGTAATGCAGCCCACATACCTTTTAGCTGTATTTTCTTTTCTGATGTGGATAAGCTTGGTCGTCTTCCACTAGCAGACTTATAATTGCTTTTGCTTGCCTGTTCTTGTCCCATTCCTCCATGGGTCGATTAGTGGGTCTATCACTCGATCACAGCTGTAAAGCTCAGGCTCCTGCACATTTTCAAACTGCAGAGCTCGTACGGAGGTACAGAGTTTCAGTTAGGAGAGATGAGGGGCAGGACGGCTGGACTTCAAACTGCAATAAATCACCTCATATGGCGTCCAGCCGTCCTCCCTCTAGGTAGATGCGAAAATATCTACTTATAGTGAGGACGGCTGGACGCTGTATAAGGGTGATTTAATGCAGTTTGAAGTCCAGTCGTCCTTCCCCATCTCTCCTAGCTGAAACTCCTTCCGTACGAGCTCTGCCTGGGAGAGAATGTGCAGTTGCCTGAGCTTTGCAGCTGTGATCGAGTGATCACAATTGCAATGCTTTCCAGGCTTGAATGCAAATCTTAAAGAAATGCATATTTTTTTATATATTATTAATTATGCATTTCTTTCATTTTTGCAAACGGTGAACTTATCTTTTAACGGATGTACTGTAAACTAGTTAGATATAAAGAGAGAACAAAATGGCTGGAGAAACACCATTCAACAGTTTAGGTGCCAAAATTCTGATTAAGGACAAGCAGAAACTCTATTGTTCTCAGTTTAATAAACCACTTGGCTGAAGCACCAAGGAACTTGTGTCTAGATGTTACTGAAGTTTTGGTGGGGAAGGGGGAAAAAAAAACCACTGGAGAAGATAAGTGTACCTTATCTAAACAGCAAATCTAACAAGCGTACTAATAACACAAACAGGGTTATTCATAAAAGAGTGAAGGATTTGGAGAAGGCAGAAATGTACAATCTAGGACAACATAGCTGAACTGAAAAGTGAACAAGGCTGAGAATTTTTGCAAATCGGCTATGTTGTCCTAGATTGTTCACTTCTCCTGCCTTCTCCAAACCCTTCACCCTTTTGTGAATAACCCTGTTAGTCTTACAACATTTGGATGTACACCTACATAACCTACTTTTAGGAAAATAGAATTGTGAAAATGTGGCATGTTTTAATTTGCGCTGTATGTGTTTACTTTAAGTATAACAGAGAATGTATTTCTTGCCTTTTATTATGCTGATGGCTTTTACAAACAAGTAGCAGTGTTAGGAAGTTCTTATGTGCTTAAATACAAATATTTGTACAGTGTTTGTTACATTAAATATATATCTCCTGTTTTCCAGGGCCGCCTCCTCAATTTGAGCTGTTCAACTATTCCTACTTTTGTACTTTCAATAACGGCCACTACAGAGGTAAGTTGTAAGATATCTTGTTAGACTGCATTGAAATAAAATAGGGGAGGTCTGTGGAACAGCCCAGCATTTGAGTGTAACGGCTGGGAGTTGGAAGCTCCAGGAGCATGCACCTTGTAGCAGACAGCAGTTTTTTGTAGAAACCTGTAATAAGAGAAATGGGGAGGCTACCATTTCTGGCATCTTTTGAAAGCGCTAGTTTCCTGGCTGCCTTGCTGATCTTTTGGACTTCAATACTTTTTAAGGAATTTACCTGCAAAAATTATACAAATCAGGAGTGTTGACTTTGCTAATCGTCGAAAAACTACAAATTTTGCATAAAAAAAAAGAGCAAGTATGTAAATATGCTCACAAAAAAATCACTATGCTTTCCCTATGAAAATAAAAGCAACCTTTTATAGGGTAATTCCACTTTAGCAGGTGAATTTATGAAAATGTAAATACCCCCCCAAGATTGGTGGGGGTAATTCTATTTTCCCAAATTCGCCTAGGAAAGTGGAAAAACTGCAATAGAACTTAGATCAGCTGCCTGGGAGTTGGTACTGGTAAGTAGTGTTATACCTGTATTTTGGAAAGCTGCACTTTAAAGGAAACATATACTAAGTGAAATAAGGGTGCTCCAATGCTGGCATCTCCTGATGAAATGCTAGTTGTCTGGCAATTTCTTGTCTCGCAACTTGTTAATAACTGACTTGAAACAAGCATGCAGTTTGGAAAGCCATAGTAAAGTCAGGACTTTCTTCTTGGTTAGTGCCTCTGGGTATATTTAAACCATTGAAACAACATGATAACAGGACAACTAGCATTCTCAGGAGAGGTCAGCATTGGCAGCTTACATGTTCTCTAAGCACTTGTTTTGTTTCACAATCAGTGGTTACAGTGAGACAGTGGTTGATGGCCCATTTGGTCCACTGGAGCCACATTCAGTCAGCCTCTGAAGCAGAGTGCCACAAACGGAAGAAACAAGGAAATGTTTTTTTTGTTAATCAAAACATCTTTATTGAAACGTAACAATATACATGAAAGACACAATCTCAATTTAACCATTGTACGGTAAGCGATACATAGGAGTGCACAGCAAATCCAGCGCAGAGAAGTTTCGAGTAACAGCTCTGAAATGGACAATGTAATGAAATGATTGTCGGTGCGTGCAGAGTCCCTGTTCTATATGACCAACAGATCCCGAGTATTATGATTAAAAGAGCATGTGCATCTCCATTTAGAGTGTAAATCTGATCAGAGGAAGTCACAAGGAGATGGAGAGGCACGGAGGCCACATGTCGTTTGGATCGTATGGGAACATAAAATAAGATCATCTTAAAGGAGAACTAAACAGAAAAAAACAAAAGAGAGAGCGCTACTACCTAGAGAAAACTTGTATTAAGTGGCATCTATTCATAAGAGAAAGAACAAATATATGTAACTTACGGTTGGAAGTCTGCAAATGTGTCAAGGATTGTGAAACAATGACCGGTATTCAGAGGGAGTCCAAAGTAGAATACTGCAGCAGTGTATGGATGAGGGGGCTATGTGAAAGATCCTAGCGGCACGCGTGCACGGCTGGCCATGGAGGGAGGACCGCGGCGGTTGTGGAACCGGGACCGCGAACGGCTGTGTTCGGTGCGTGTATAGTGGAGTCAACTGTGAATCTCTATTTAGAGATTCTCTGGAGAACTCGAGGTTCTAGCCGTCACGATAAAGCGAGCCCGTCTGTGCACAGCTTCCACCCACTCAGACGTCCTGTCGATACTCTGCCCACCGATCTGACTCCACTATACACGCACCGAACACAGCCGTTCGCGGTCCCGGTTCCACAACCGCCGCGGTCCTACCTCCATAGCCGCCGTGGCCCGGCCTGGCCAGCCGTGCACGCGTGCCGCTAGGATCTTTCACAGCGCCCCCTCATCCATACACTGCTGCAGTATTCTACTTTGGACTCCCTCTGAATACCGGTCATTGTTTCACCATCCTTGACACATTTGCAGACTTCCAACCATAAGTTACATATATTTGTTCTTTCTCTTATGAATAGATGCCACTTAATACAAGTTTTCTCTAGGTAGTAGCGCTCTCTCTTTTTGTTTTTTTTCTGTTTACCATTCGAATTCACAGGGTCCTCTCCCTGTCAGTGAGAGCCTGCACACCATAATTCATAGCCCGTGATTTTTCCAGTGACTAAGTATCAGTCGTGCGCTTATGTTTTTGTTCTGTTAAAGGAGAACTATGGGGTCCAAGCTTATCTCCAATTTTGTATTCCTTAGGCTAAAGGAGTAAATATTGTAATTTACTCCTATTAGCCAAAATGCACCCTAAGCATGATATAGTTTGTTTAAGAAGGTGGGCGGGGCTAAGTGCAGCAGTGAGGAGAGATCCCGACAATACTGTTTGGATCCTCCCCACTGATCTCGTCAGTTTGGCTGACAGCACTTCTGAAGAGCTGCTACGAGTCCACGAATATATTGGCATGCGCAGCAGCTCTGTCCCCGCAGGTCTCTCCCTACCTCCCCGTCCCCATCCTCTGTGCCTGCCATTCAGGCACGCGCAGCTGCGGAGCCCTTTCTCTCCTATCTGCCTCCCCGTCTCCTCCATGTGCTGTGCAGTGTCAACAAGAGCTTCTCTCCGCTCATCAGCACTCCGGCCACCCACATAGCGGTGCACGCTTTGAGAGTCTGAAAGCGCGGCCACAGCAGATTTACGTTTAGAAAAAAAAGTTGAGGGAGGGTTGCATTAACTGTTAACGCCCCCTAACAGGAAAGGAGCTGGAAGCATAGTTGCAGATGGCCGTTTTCTATGATTTAAAATTAGGTTTTCTCAGATGTGCTTGGTCTGTGGAAATAATGAATACTGCTAATAGAGTAAAGGTAAGGTGTGTGTTTATTTGGCCTTAGGTCAAGATGAGCGAAACAGTTAATATATATGAGCAAAGTAGAAACCAAGAAGGTAGGTCAAAGACTGAGAACGAAGAGCAGAATGAGGCAAGACTAGGAAGGGCACATACATGTGCTGACAAAGGACAGATCAATGGGAGGGTACATGTAAAGGCTGGAATGGGTTTCTGAGCCAGTATTTGAAATGGCTGAATTACTAGCTAGATCTCTGCTTAATGGCTGGGGTAGAAGACAGAGGAGGCTAATTATCGTTTAAACATTTGTTTGTAGGGTCTGTGATTGTTGTTTATAGTTTGGCTCGAAGGCTGGGTTCCCACCTAGGCATTATTGATGCATGGTTTTGCGCGTTATATGCGCATACATCAAAACGGGTGTTTTTGTGAGCAGATTGTAGCTTATTGATGTTAATGAGCAAACACGTATAAAACGTGCAAAAACACAGAAAACGCACTTTTCAAGCGTTTCCTATTGAGTCTATGGGGCCAAAACAAGCTGTAATATGCTAACAAAAAAAAAGTACTTTTTCCAGCGACAGGCATTTTGCTTATTGCGACAAAACGCTCAGATGTTAACAGGGCCATAGAAATGAATGGCAATTTTTTAAGGCAGAAAAAGCTCAGTGTGAACCAGGCCTTAGGCTGGATTCACATCAAATGCATTGGGGCTGTGCTGCCCTTTTTTCCCCTGCAACCCCAATGAAAAAAAATGGCAATTGCCTTGTTTCAGATGGCCTCAGTTCGCACCACTGCATTGCGGCTATGTGTGTTGAAAAACATTTCTGCATGCAGTACTTTTTTTTCAGTGCAGCGGACTGCAACATAGTACAACTAAATTGCACCACACTGTGCCCATAGAACTTAATGAAATGTCACTTGTTCTAACATAAGAATAAAGTAAACCATGCAATGCGCCAGGATCAGCGCATTGCATGGTTTGTGGTAATGTAGAGGTGCAGTGATGATGTATATATGAGCTCATTGTTTTGACTCACATTGCAGGCTTTCATCATTTTTTAATTAATTTTTTATTAGGCCTGAATCCTACAAATTCAGAATTTCTCCACAGGAAACTCAGTTTGGCTCCGGTGGTCAGATTGTAAAGCATGTTGTTAACAGCTGCCCCCCTCTGTGATTCTGTGTAACACAAAAAAACACAATCACTAAACACCAGCTCTGCCTTTACACACAATACACTGTCCAGAGGGGTAAACCTTTTTATAGTGCCCATGAAGGACATTTTAGGATAGAGTCAATTCAATCAGTTGTTCATGAAAATAGGGATGCATACTTGGATATCGCCAAAATCCCAGAGCACCTGCATTTTCTCAGGTTTGTGGTAGACAAGAGTCATTTCAGTTTGTGCCCCTCCCTTTCGGGCTGACCTCCCCCCATGGTGTTTACCTAAATGTTGACCGCAATCCTTTCTTGGGGCTTAGGGAAACTCGATCATCAGATACCTTGACAATCTCCTGATAAGGACTCAATCATCATCTAAACTCCAACATGAGATACACTCTGTGGACCCTGAAGCAGTTTGGCTGGTTGCTGAACATCAAGGGGTCGTCCCTAAATCTATTCTGCCACCTGGGAAACATGGGTCTCATTCTGGACCCCAAGCAGGCAAGGACTTACCTTCCAAAGAAAAAAAAACTTATGAGGCTGTGATCTTGTGGGGCAGCTGAGGGATTGTCACCTATTGATCTTGCATTAGAACACTGGCGTTGATAGACTCTTCTTTTAAGGCAGTGCTATGTGCCACATGAGATGTCCACAGAGGAAGAGCCTGTCATTAAGGGAAAAATATGCACTATCTTTGGACAAGGAGGTACTATACAGGTGAAACTCGAATAATTACAATATGGATCAAAAGTTCATTTATTTCACTAATGCAACTTAAAAGGTGAAACTAATATATGAGACTCATTACATGCAAAGCAAGATAGTTCAAGCCGTGATTTGTCATAATTGAGTCCACAGGTAAGAATCCCCAGCCCTGGAGGAGAGCATGGGTTTCTTTCTTGAAATGGAAGGTTTGTCACAATGGTTGCAAGGTTTTCTGGCAATGTAGGTGTGCCAGACTCTCTGTTGGCACAGGGAACCCGGTCACCCTCACAGCTCAAAACAATGCCACTGGCTTGGCTAACAGCAATCATCAGGGAGGCAAGTCTGGCAGCTGCCAGAGAAGTGGAGCACATTCTCCTTTGGGCCAAACAACATGTTCTAGCAATCTCTGTCATTTACATTACCCATGTAGAAAATTGGAACTCAGACTTCCTGAGTCATCAACGCTTGGAACCTGGAGAATAGTCATTCCGTTAGGAGGTGTTCTGTCAGATCTGCCTGCATTGGGGGATGCCAGATGTGGATCTTATGGTGTCACTATTCATATTTTGTAGCCAGTTCCAGAGACTCTATGCCAGGGGTGCCGACAAGGTCGATCGCGATCTACCAGTCGATCGCCTAGCGATCACTGGTAGATCGCCATGTCCGCTCCTCCCGCTGCTTCTCTGGATCCCCGCTGCTCTCCATGCCATATGTAGTACATGCTCTAGTAGCCCCATGGGACAACTGCTGTCTGATTTACATGTTTTTCCCACTCAGGCTTTTTACTCACCAACATCCCATGAATGTCCAGATCTGTTGGCCAAAAAACAATTTGGCACCCTGCTTGTCATTCGCTGGCTTTTATGCCTTTGATGTTAAAGCCCAGGTGCTGAGAGACAGGCATTCTGGAATTGTTCATTCCTACAATGCACAAGGTTCATTAGTCTATGTTAAACAAGGTCTGTCTCGGCACCTTGATGGAGTCATTTGGCTGGTGCGAGAGTTTGGGGGTCATTCCCCCATCCTTTTTCTGTTGGCAGGCTCCTTTCCTTGCTACAGCTGGGGGTTGATCAACACTTGGGCCCTAACACAAATAAGGGCCAAGTGCCAGCCTTGTCTGTACTGTTGCAGCGGCCTTTGGCAAATCACTCCTTGGTGCATATGTTTATACTAGGAGTGACACATTACCTCTCCTGTAAGACCACCCCTGAAGCTGTGGGATTTGAGTATGGTTGGTTATGTAGGTACTAAAGAAGCCCTTGTTTAACACACCTTTTTGAGATATTTGGCAAATTTATTTCAAAAGTTTGCATTTTTGGCAGCACATTTGCTTGGTCAGAAAGGTCTCAGAAATGGCAGCATTGTAAATAAATATTCCTTGTCCTGCACAAGGACAAGGTTGTTGTTTTTTGTTTGTTTCCCGCTTTCCTTTAGTTTGTGTCCTCCTTACACATCAATGAGCATATTGTTTTACTGTCACACTTCCCTGCTCCTTCTCACCCTAAGGAGTTTTTTTTATATGGTTCCTGGATGTAGTTAAGGCAGTTAGGATTTACTTGAACCACACAGCTTCCTTTGGTGTTTGGAGTCCTTGTTTGTAATTTCAGATGGCCCTTGTATGGGTTGCCTAGCTTTTAGCGCTACATTCTCAAAAAGAATTAGGCAGACCATTGTCATAAGGATACTACTTTTTTGACTAAAGTATTTGAGTACTTAATGGGCATTTGCCTTTTAGGTGTCGTCGTGTCAGGTCTGTAAGGCTGTGATCGGGACTTTATTTGATACTTTCATAAAAGTTTGAATGGTACATGTGGCTGCATCTGATAATGCTTGCTCTTTGACTTTGCTTTTATTTTTTTTCCTATTTTTTTGTTGTTGGCCTACATTTTCACCCTTGTTGTTGCTGCTGTTTGGAAGACCTTGCTAGCCGCTCATATGGGACTGCTTTTGGACATCCGGTAATATGGAATCTACAGAGCTATGTTCCTTAACGAATAGAGGAAATGTTATTTTTTGTATTAACCAATAATCCATTTCTCTCATGTTCACTGGGTGACATTGCTCCCTCGCCATTTGCTTTGGTTTACTCCTCTATTTTCCAAGGTTATGTTATGGTAGAGACTTTTTCCCTGTTTTCCTCTACTACTTGCTGCAACTGAGCATGTTTGGTAGGGTTGGGGTCATAGCCCATAGTTAAATGGCTCCTTGAGCTTTGTGTAGAGTCCAATTCCTCCTGTAGGTGGCAGTATAACTCATGGTATGGAATCTAGAAAGCTGTGTCCCTCAATGTAAATTGGAGAAAACAATTTTTATGGCGAGTTAAAAAAAAATCTTCTTCTACAAAATTACATAAATCTAATACTCCTGTCTCTGTCATTGTTAAAACAAACTGCAAAAATAAAAAAGCTGCAAACTGGAATTGTAGGCACACAAATATTTGTTTTTTTTTATGCGGACTATAACCCCATTTATTTTTGTTTTTTTTCTACTTATAGGCTCTAGCATTAATTGAACTATACAATTCTCCAGAAGGCCGTTATAAAGAGGATGTGTATTTGCTACCAAAGAAAATGGGTATGTTGTGGTTGTAATATGTTTTGTTTGTAAAATGTTGACGTGGACCTTTGGTTGTGGCACTTTGTGAGATTGTGCAGGCCCATATACAGGCAGTCCCCGACTTACGAACAACTCCTACTTACGAACCGAGGTCCAACTGCCCCCCAGATTAGTTCCTCTGCCACCCGCAGGTCCTGCACTCCTGCAGTGTAGTGACACAACTACATACAGCTATCACTCAGTGTCAAAGACTTTACTACAGTTCATTGTGAAAAAACTTTGTACAATGAACTGTAGTAAAGTCGGTGACACTAAGTGACAGCTGTATGTGCCGGCGCCTGTGCGGGCATCCGATGGCTGTCATTTAGGAGAACTGTGGCTTCAGCGGCCTGTGTCCCTTCAAATCCCTGCTGCTTTCCCCGCCTGTGTTGGCGGAGGCAGAGGGCACACAGACCGCTGCATTCCTCCGCTGCCCCCCGTACCTCCGCTGCTGTCCCGGCCGGTTCCTCCTCTTCCCCCGGTCTGGCCGTTCCTCTCTTCCCCCAGTCTGGCCGTTCCTCTCTTCCCCCGGTCTGGCCGTTCCTCTCTTCCCCCGGTCTGGCTGTTCCTCTCTTCCCCCGGTCTGGCCGTTCCTCTCTTCCCCCGGTCTGGCTGTTCCTCTCTTCCCCCGGTCTGGCCGTTCCTCTCTTCCCCCGGTCTCCTATATCAGTATATCAATTTAAATACCTAAAAATAAAATTGTCCCAAATCCATTATTTTAAACGGTGGTAAGCATTGTCCCTATATATTTAAAACTACTCACGTTATTAGAATCCAATACAATAATCTGAAATAATCTGAATGCCCGACAGCTGTACAAGAGAGGAGGGGACCCAGGCGGAATACCTTATCCTGCCAGATGAACGTCCCCTCCTCTCTGCAGGCGTCCCATCACCAAGATGGCCGCCGGCAGTTAAGTGCACGTGATGTCATTACGCGTGCATAATGACGTCCCGGCAGGTGACACCCCCTGGCTAGGGACACCTCTGCCTACTTTTAAAAACTATTAGTTTCCAGGCTGACTCTAGATTCATAATTCTTAGCATGTTGGTCTGCGATGAGTGACTCAAAGTATTTAAGGCACTGAATCAGCTTGACAGCCAGGCAGTCCAATTTTCAGAGGAAGGAGGCAGCAATTGCAGTGTCTTTATTTCGGTCATCAACCACCAAGAAAGAAACCACTCTGTACTGTACGTCCAAGGCATGGGAAAAATAGCAAATGCCGCAAGAGCTGATAAGTGAAAGTATTACTTATATTTGGTGGTCATGAAAGCCAGGCTTTTAAGAACCGATACCTAGAAGTTTCTGAACTGATTCCAAAACGCAAAAGGAAGAACTGCGAAGGAAGAGGTAAACCTAAATAAACTGGCTGTTGCTTTTCCTTAGTAACACACTTTAAAACAAGGGTTTGTAATGATATAATAATGTGCTTTTCATTTCTGTTTCCATGGTGGTAAATAAACAAAGTTGAAAGAATAAAAAAGTTTTTAACTATTTTTGATCAGAGGTCATTGAAGCCCAAATGTCCAAACTAAATGTAGCAGCATTAGTGTGCAACAGTTAACGTGACTAATTTGTGCTGTGTTATGCTTTGAATATACTTTTTGTTATTCCTAGTTATAGTCTAGTGCTTTGTAATTATTAGGCCTCTTTACATACTGTATAATACTTGATATTATATATTACATATTATAACAGGTGCAAATTAATCTTATAACTGCATATTTTGTTAAAAAAAATATTAAATGCTAAACTTTATTAAGTGCTAAAAAATATAATACAGACAACAAACATTTTAATTTATTTTGTTTGTAGATGAGTACGTTGCCAGTTTGCACCTACCTTCCTTTGATGCCCACTTAACGGAGCTAAGTGATGACCAGGCCAAATATCTTGGACTCAACAAGAATGGACCGTTTAAACCTAACTATTACAGGTAGGTAGCCATTGAGAATCTGCCAAAAATGCTGCTGTATAAATATAGTGCCATGTAGTTGCAGTTGTTTTTGTGAGTGATTGCAATTCGTTCAGAAAAACTAAACCATTTAAGGAACCTGAATTTTTTTTTCTCATTCATTGAGGGACGCAAACTAACAACAATAACCGGCCCGGTAAACCCCTCCAGCTCTCAGCATGCTTCATTTGCTAGTATCTTTTCTCTACTCAGAAAAGTTTAGCAGCGCTTGGATCTGAGGAATGGGTCCCTTCACCCAAGTGTTCCAGAGCCACAGTAGCCACAGTGTCACAGGCTGGGGGCGCTCGATGAGGACCTCCTGCCCTCTAGGTTCAACAACAGGACAAATCTGTCTCCAGGTGCAGTGATCTTTTGGCGCAAGCAATGAATGCTCTGGTTGCTCCATGGGATGAATACAACCTGATCTATGCCTTTATTCCCCTAAAACTGGGTATGATCTGCAGTATTGAGATGGAAGGCATTCTAGTAAGCCTTGTAGCTCCAGATTGGCACAGGCAAACATGGTACTCTGACCTGTCCAAACTCCTCTTCCAAATCATCCAAAACATCTGTTGTAAGGACCGGTTTACCACTCTGTTTCACAATCACTGGCCTCAACAACATGACTGTCGTAGCTGAGGTAAAAAAAGTGCTGGTATCTGCTCTTAGTATCGGGGCATTTTCACGAGTACTCATGAAAATGCCCAGTATCTGCACCAATGTCGTTATCGGTGCATCCCTAATAGTAACCTAGCACAACTTGGATCATTGGACTTCCTACCTTCACATATTGCACTACGTGGGCAAAAATATATTTTTGATGGAAATTTTGTTGGGAAAACCTATTTTCAATAGACTGCCATCTACCTCCTATACCAGGGATCACTAACAGGAGGGCCGATTGGTGGTTCTGTCCGTACCGTAATTATGTCCCTGTGCTGGGTTATTCCTGTGTGATAGTGGATGCACGGGCCTCCGTGCCAGCCATAACCCAGTACAGGTCTCCCGTCCTCTTCAGTCATTGTTTGCTAGGACCGCTTATTGGGCACAGCTGTCCACGTTGCTTCGGGTATGCGCTACCACATATGTTTTATAACTGCACTTTGTTCCCCCGACAAAACTGAAATAAAATTGTGAAACAGTACAGAAATATACTATTTGTAGTATTAAAGTAAATATAAATTTTGTTTGTGCCAATGTTTTCCAGATACTGAAACTTGGAGGACCCCAGTATACCAAGGCATCTGTAAAATGTCAAGACCACATTAGAACAACCACCACGCTTATGTGTCTGTTATTATATCATTGTAATTGTTTGTGTGCCCATTTGTATGCTTTTACTTTGTTATATAAGAAGGAATAGTACTTAATTTAATTTTATTATTCTGATTCCCAAAAGCACAGTGTAAAACCTAACTAGAGGGAAATAACACTTGGTGCAGAAATTGTCCCTATAACATTTTTAATTTTTGATAGAAAGTGGAGGGGCATTAGAACCTCTGTCTATTTTTTTTTTATTGCCGTCTGTATCCCTGTTGGGGAGATTTTCCCTCATATCCTATCCCAGTGACCACATGGGAAGTAAAGAGAATCTTTGCAGTGGGGTCACAGACAGCAATAGAAACCATAGTTTATAATCCTTTCCCACAATTAGGTAGTGCAGCTTTTCTGTCAATGTTTTTATGCAAGTGTAACTTGTCATCTGTATTACAATGTATACACGGTAGACTGCACCATAGATAATATATGTGCACACATACACTTTTTTGCTGCCTTATTATGGGACCTGCTCGACAATACTATTTTTATTTTTATTTAGAGCTGGACAATCTAAACAAAAGAGCAATCCGATAACTTGACGCATTCTGTTTTACATTTAGCACATTTATTTTATGACCAGGAATAAAACATTATCTTTGCTCTTTTTCTTTATATTTTACATCCTGTCAACACCATATACACAAGGCACTTTGTAAACAAGAGGAACGTTACCACTATGACAACTGGGAATCGCAAATATGCAACTATGTTTTCTTATAACTAAAAGTTTCCAAAGTGTAACCATTAAGAATGGTATTTTTATTAATCGTTCATTAGGGGACACAGGAGAGATGAAATCTAAGAAAACATGGGTTATGCTGCTTTTTACTGCACAGAACACTGGCAAACAAAGCTATGAGTCAGCTAAATATAACCCCGCCCACTCTTATCATACTACAGGTTTTTTTTTGTGCTAGTGTCCCAGGAGAATGGACATCTTCTATCAAGATTCTACAAATGCTGCAGAGCCATAAGTACTAATTTTGCAGCTTTCTGGATCAACTGATCCTTGGCATATCCACGGAGGCCACAAGACTAGTGTGACCTGTGGGCACTGGGCTCCGCGCGGTGCTCTCCTAGACACTTAATGTACTGCAGGGCATATTACAGGTCCAGGGCTGTGATACACCCGCTTGGTGAATTTCCATGCCTGGAGACGCGTTTGGGAGTATGCCCAAAGCCTGTCTTGAGTGTGCATATGTGCCCTGCCTGAGACCCCCTTGACCATCCAGAACTGCTGACTCTGTGAGTTCTCAGAACTTGCCCCTGCCTTTAAAATCAGGCACCGTCACTCGGTGTCCCCACTGTCTCTGATTGGGCTGTTATCCGTTTGATGTGACACAGTAATTTGTCAAAGAGAGTCTAGAGGATGATTTCTTATAAAACCTATTGTGTGTGTGTGTGCCTCTGAGGCTGAGACACACTGGGTGGTAATACCACCCACTCTGCAAGCTGAGACATATGTTGTGTACGCTCCTATACATCTCCCACATACTATCTGTGAGATCCCATCCAGCATCTTGCAAGGTCCAGGATCTGTCATCCATACTGCTGTCTTAGGGTGACCTAGTCACAAATGGCAATTTAGCCCCTCCTGCTTCGGCGTTGATGGTGAGTACCCATCCAGTGTTTCCTCACATACTATCATTATGGTGAATTATAAGCACAAGGAAAGTGGTCCAATGGGGCATTTCCAGCTCACCGTAAGATACATTTCTTGGCGTTCATAAAGGTCCCACCCCTATGTCTAATGATCTACTCCTGCTATTGCATTTCCACAAAACAGGAGTATGATAGAAATGGGAGGAGTAATTCTTAGCTGACTCACAGCTTTGTTTTTCAGTGTACAATCTCCTGTAAGTAGCAGCATAACCCAGTTGTCAAAGGTTGACTGTGTCCCTTATTGAACTGCAAGAAACAGATTTTAGACTAAAAAAAATTATGCTTTTTTTAAAAAAAAATCTGTGGCGCTAATACAACTGTTTTATGGGGTCAAGAAGGAATTTATTTTCACCGAGAGGCAACTGTTACCCATAGTGGTCCAGAATGTTTTGTTTTGCCTTCCTCTGGACCAAAACTGCTAGAGTTTGTGAGAGGTTGAATACTTGTATTTTTAAATATAACAAATTACTAAGTAACTATACCTCCCATCTTATTTGCCTATAAAACGTCATTTGAAATGTAATAATATTTCACAAGTTTTCCAGTTCTTGTTTGAAGGTGTTATTCCATATGTGCTACACCCAGAATATGTGTATAGGAGCTTTTAGTTCTTGCAACCATTATAGCTGCATCATTCAAATGAAAAGGTGTGCAAGGAGATGGAAAAACCCTTTGGGTTTACTAGACTGGGAGTACTAAGGATGGGTACAGCCCATTCAACTCTACATAACACTGTGAAGTCAAAGTCTCAGCACTGAACTATTTAGTTACTTCAATTAATCGTTATTCACTTGAACTATCTTCTAGCTCGTGAAATCATTTTTTATTTCACCCAACTCTTGGTCAGCTATTGCTTTGCTCTGCCATACAAAGAAGAAGAAAAAAACTTCAGCAAATGCCATATACTTGAGGTATTACTCAGCAGCTGCTGACCCAGCTTGATGGTGCTAAAGAAGTCTCTTGCAATGCATGTAGTAACTGCCTTTTATTAGTGCACCTCTATTACAGGTTATATTCCTTTTTTTTCCCTAAACACAAAAATCTAAAATCACTGCACTTCTGTTCTCAAATCATTAGTAAAGGGCTGAAATCAGATAAAAGCCTCTTAGATGTGGCACTTTTAGTGACATCACAGTAGTGATTTTTTAGCATGTTTTAAAGATCAGCTTGTCAAAGATTTATTGTACTTTGTACCTTGATTCCTAAAAAAAATGCAATACTTTAATGATTATCTAAAATAAACATATGAAATAAAGCCAATTTAAGACTTGACTTGCTTTTAATATGTCTGATTCTTCTTGTATATGATGGCTTTATAGATCTCTCTGTATAAATTTAGTCTATACAATATGTTAAATATATTTCCACAGTTAAATTCATAATGTATAGGATATTACATAATTACCATAAAAAAATAAACTTTTCCAAGTCTTAACCATGGGGGAGATTGTATAGTGCACAGAACCACTAGGGTAAGAACACACAGACAACTTTAACACCTCCTATTATCACAAGAGTGCTGAAGCTCAGCATAACAATGAAGGGATCACCCTTTCACATTGAACAAGCAGAGGGGAAGAATTCCTAAGTTCCTGAGGAAGTCTGTGATGAAAAATGTGTTTGTGGAGGTATGGGCACGATGATATCTCTCCAAGGAAATGTACGCACACAGCATGTTGCAATGTGGGGTGAAGTTACTTTGTAGTGGTGGGCAAAGCACTTGTGCTGTGTATGTGTTTTGCCTTGTTTTTATTCTAAATAAAAAGTGATCTGCACAAGAGTGTCTCTCTTCTGCTTTGCATCATTGCTGCTGCCAGTTTTCTGGGGAATGCGAGAAGTAATAAAGCCATTGACTACCCTATGATAGATCTGTAACAAACACAAGGCTATTCACAAAAGGGTGAAGAGTTTGGAGAAGACAGGAGAAGGGAACAATCTAGGCCAAAATAGCTGAACTGGAAAGTGAGTTTGATTTGGATAATTTTTCTGAATCGCCTATTGTAGCCTAGATTGTTCACTTCTCCAGCCTTCTCCATACTCTTCACCCTTTTGTGAATAGCCTTGATAATGTCACATCTATCTGGTGATTTTTGCCTCCGTTGGGGAAAGTGTTTCTAGATAGAGGAATTTGCGAACTTTGCGAATTTGGGAGCACGTATCAGATATGGACACATTTTATCTCTGAAATAGCATGGTGTCTTGGAGTACACATCTTATACGGGCATGTGATATCTGTAAAACATGTTTAACAGTTTGTTCATTTGCACATTTCTTAGCATTTTTTGTGGCTTATAATGGGTTTTTACTTGTTAATCATTATATTATTTATTTGCTTGGGATTAAATGAAATTGATTTTAGCAGTGTGCTATATTTTATCTTGAAAACAATTTAGGGCCCCCAGTGTTTTATTTATAAAACTTTGCCACCATTTTATTCTACAGGGTCTTGGCTTGAGAAAATATATAATGTTTGAGGGTTTGAAGTCATTTTCAGGCCCAAAATGTGGATTATAACATGTATGTGGAAAAAAGGCCTTGGCAACGAAAGGGTTAAACCTCCAAAACTTGTATATTTTCTGAAAGCAGAGTAGAATACAAAATGGTAGCTGCATTTTTAATGTTGTGCAATATTTGCGCACATGTTTATCAAATCAATATTTCTAGGAAGAACACTAAAATGAATTTCCACTTTTGCAGCCATTTTATTTTGATATTTTGTTTTATATTTGTTACATGTTTCCATTCACAAAGCATAAGCTAAAAAATTATTCTTACAGTTTACGTTTCTTGTCCTTAGGTTAGGGTTTCTTGACTTCTTAATGGTTCACATTTCTACATGTTAGGAGGAGTGAGGGGTTTGCATTGTATGTTATGGAACGCAATCCTCAAATTTCAGTCCTAAGTCGTTCTATAAGGACAGGTTACTGTGAAGGTGCTCAGAAAAAAAATTGTCTCAGCCATGTTGCCTGCTACAAAAAAACATCTAAAAGGTAATAAATATTTTTTAAGAATGATTTTTAATTATGCCGTGACATGCAAACACATACAGTAACAAACATATAGAAGGGTTTTCTCAAATTTAACTGCAGAAGTGGAAATGGGCTTTAAGAATTAATTATTTTATTGGTAAAGTTATTGGTTATTGGTAAAGTAACATAAATATCAGCAAGGACTTGAGAGCACCCCTGCAACATATTTTCTTTAGCAGTAGACTCCCATAGTCTCCTGTGAAGAAGGCTATAATTGAAAACAAATTGACTTTTTAAAGTGGCAGTTTTAATCCCACAGTGAGAGGGCTGGGTTTCTACTCAACCCTTATCTTGGTACTGAACCTATGGATGTGAGTGTGTGTATTTATCTGGCTTCACCACTTCCCATATCCCTGTAGATTCTGCGAGAGAAGAAACTCATCCAGTAGTTTCTCGAATTTATCAATGTGGTAGTGAGTTCCAAACTTTCACTACTCTCACAGTGAAATACCCCTTACTAGGGTTGAACAGATACCAATTACAGTACTCGGTACGAGTACATGTACCGATACCTTTGAGCTCCAAGACTAGACTAGAGAAAAATTCTAAAATTAGGAGGCAGCTGTCATTTGTAAGGCGCACACGGAGCTTCTGGGATTTCTACATCTCTGTTTTAATGTACGATTTTGTTTTTATAAATATAAATAAAGGGATGCACCGATACCAGTTTTGCGAGTACTGGTACTTGCCGAGTACTTACAAGTACGAGTAATGATACATTTTTGTTTATTGTCATGTGACAGTTTTTCTAAAACAATACAGACTAATGATTTCAGGACAGTGGTGGAGCGCCAGAGCCAGGTCCCAGCTGCAACTTCTGCAACCCTGATAGTTCTCATTAATACTAAGGATTAGGATGAGCAGTGCGGACTAAGATGATCTGTACGGATTACGATGAGCAATGTGGACTAAAATGAGTAGTGCGGACTAAGATGACCTGTAAGGATTAGGATGAACAGTGCGGACTAAGAAGACCTGTACGGATTAGGAGGAACAGTGCGGACTAAGATGACCTGTAAGGATTAGGATGAGCAATGTGGACTAAAATGAGTAGTGCGGACTAAAATTACCTATAAGGATTAGGAGGAGCAGTGGGGACTAAAATGACCTGTAAGGATTAGGAGGAGCAGTGGGGACTAAAATGACCTCTAAGGATTAGGAGGAGCAGTGGGGACTAAAATGACCTCTAAGGATTAGGATGAGCAGTGCAGACTAAAATTACCTGTAAGGATTAGGATGAGCAGTGCGGACTAAGATGATCTGTACGGATTACGATGAGCAATGTGGACTAAAATGAGTAGTGCGGACTAAGATGACCTGTAAGGATTAGGATGAACAGTGCGGACTAAGAAGACCTGTACGGATTAGGAGGAACAGTGCAGACTAAAATTACCTGTAAGGATTAGGATGAGCAGTGCGGACTAAGATGATCTGTACGGATTACGATGAGCAATGTGGACTAAAATGAGTAGTGCGGACTAAGATGACCTATAAGGATTAGGATGAGCAGTGCGGCCTAAGTTGCACATTGGGGGTTAAAATTAGCAGTGTGCATTCAGATAACCTGGACAGCATTTACATGACAAAAAAAAGACGAAGATATATA